CTTTTCAGGTTATTATTTTTATTTGACTGCCGAGTTGGCACCCGTCTGTAAGCGTCAAGAGCACGCAATTGTAATTTTACGTTGAATAAAAAGGACTTAAACCCTTCACAATCTTTTTTTCAGTCCTTGTTGCGTGCAGTGGCGCGCACATTCACCATTAAGCCTATAGAAAAATAATACTTTCAGCCGATACCTGGCCAGATTTAAGCACCAAAAGATTGAAACAAGTATTAGTAGTTAAAGTATTTATCATTATGTAGTATACATATATAGAGGGCTTGATATATAAACGTCCTTTGATTCATCTCATTGATGAGGACAGACATGGTAGATAATACATTGATTAGACTCATCAATCGGTAAGGATAACAGCAACAACCAGTCTTGTTGACAATGAGCGACATGGAGATAAACTTTCCTGAATTAAGGCACTAACGGCGTTAAAATGCTTTCGACTATATGAGCCATGAGTTTGATGACACCTTGAACACAGTGTGGATCATTAGCCACTATCTGATCTATTCTCGTATTGTTGAAATTGTGAGGAAGAATTGTACTAAAATTATTGAGATAATTGAAACTTTTAAGATAATTTAAGTATTTGAATTTGAGTAGTTCATTGGTAGTTGCAGTTCTGTAGATATATTTCAGACTTTGCTTATGTTGTTGAGGAAATTTTCCCTGCATTGTTAATGTCGATTTAAGAAATGATTGAATTGTCTTTTCAAAAAGACTTTTGGAAATACATGTATGTTTGCCGATGTCTTGATGGTTCCGTCTTTCTTACCAGACTATTAAGTATTTTTCAAAACCGTTTTATCTGTTATAATGGCTATTAGTAGATAATAATCCGCAGCCCAACCGGTATAGTGGTTAACGTTGCTGACTGTCGTACCTAAGGCCCCCGGGTTCGAATCCCGGAGAAGCTATGGATGTTTGTAAATGTATAGTGTCTGTGTAGCATGGCGGCACTCTAAATATACGGCGAGCCGAAAGTCCTCTCGCGTGGTTTGGTGGAAGGGGAGAGGTGTGGGAGACCCTCGGACATGTCCCCCTCGGGGTGCTCTGCATCAAAATTGAGGGCGAAATTTAACTAAATCGCACTGTCACCTGAAAGGTGCTCAAGGCTGTTGCCAACGGCAGGCGTAATTTAGCCCTCCTTTCCATGAGGAATTTCGTGGGCTTGGGCTGACTACGTCAGACAAGTGAGCATAAGAAATAACAGATGATAATCCACATTAATATGAGTAGTGTCTAATTTTGTTGATGTATAAATTTCTTCGTTATCTGGTATTCCTGTGTGTCTTTTGATTCATTTGATATGAAGGGATTTCGTTGTTTGAGTGTATGATATTCTCACAATGGGTTTCGTTGGGAAAACACTAGACGCATTGTCTAATCTATTTTTCTGTATGTACAGACATGATCAGGAACTACGAATGCTTCTCTAATTTAATTAGTTTATTTGGGGACACCAAATGAATAAAATCCATTTACTGTATCTATATAAAATCTGAATCAATAGATGTAGTTTTTTGCGTTAAATCTGCTCATAAATACCTACACACACCATCTGTAAATAGGTGACATATAATATATTAAGTGCTTTTCTGAGATGTGGCTATTATTTGAAGAGTTTTGAAAGCGTAAAAGAGTTGATATACGATGTCTATAACTAACAAATTCACAAGTAAATTTAATGATATTTGAGACTAGAAGGGCGACTATATTGAAATGCAAATGGTGTTTTCTGACAGACAGCTATTATTACAGCATAATCACGGTTTTTCGGACAGAATTTCAGAATGAAGCAATTTGTCACAAATTCAGATTACTTTTGAATGCCTTCATTCTTTGGAACACCATTTATTAGTTATTTCTAACGTCGAAGACACATGCTCTTTTCTTATTTAAGCAGCCATATCCATCATAAATAAAAGGCATATAAAATTCTCATTTTTCAAATTTAGCTTGCATGAGCTCACTCCTTTCGTTTTTGAGATATAAAATGAAGTATGAGGACGTACACTGCTGATCTGTCTTGTCAATAAAATTGTACAGACAGGTTATTTTAATGCAGGAGATATGAAAATGTGCAATGCTTTCGCCGGGACAGAACCTGGACCTCTCGAACACGAGCCGATTGTGCTACGATTACACCACGAAGGCATGCTGGCACGAGGTTGAAAATACCTCTTGTAAAGGAAGACTGGGGATTAAGAGATCCAATCGCCAAATCTTAGTGGGGACGAATTATTGTTCACCCCCTTTTTAGTTCGGGTGCCACTGTAGAGTAATTAGGTTTTTTTTTTGAAGCATGAGATATGAACTGCCCTCGCCCGAATCGAATTGGACCTCTCGATGAGCACCGAATGTGCTACCGACACATGCTATCGTTACATCATGGAGGCATGCTGGAAGGAAGGAGGAAATACTTCATAAGATCTACACCAAAAGCCGAAGAATCATACTCTCAACAGAAGGAAAAAATAAAAATGTAATAGCTATTTTGATTAAAGTATGTTGTTCTGTCAATGATATTTTATCGAGTAATTCCCAATCACAACATAGTTTATACGCCGTAATATTAAAATTTTCTGTAGCATAATTTGCTTACTAACTTGGACAGGGAATGCCAGGAGTTCCCGATACGCGCGTCCTTTATTTGCTCTGAAAAAAGCCCTTTCTCATGCTGCTGTCTCAAGAAACTTGTTAACATTGCGACAGAAACCCACATTATGCTCCCAAGATAAGAGGTTATGTTACATTATACTCCCAAGATATGAGGTTATTAACCAACAGTATACTCCCAAGATATGAGGTTATGTTACATTGACCTTTCAACAAATTGAAAGAACAAAAGAAGAGTTCATGCAACAAAAGAAGTCATCCGCGGCTGAAGCCTTACGTACGCTGGCATCACTGGAAACAGTTCTTCTGATTAAATGACCGTTCAAATGCTTGATGTAAATTTATAAATATGGAAGTGTGGAAGTATATAAACGTTGAGCCGAAAAATTAAGTCGTTATCTTTCATGAATAAATATTTATGTCATACATAGGTATGGTGCCGTTATTCTGCTTCCAATTATCACATTTTCGTAGACGTTTCCATACGGATCCAGGTGAACTATTATCATTGATGCAGGCACTCAAGCTTGTTAACTTCAACTTGGGTATAATATGTTGGTCGTGATACATAGCGTTTCTTAACAGCATGTTTGTAAGTTGCGAACTGGGAAGAACCCGGTAAAAAAGCTCATAAAAGTAGTGGTGAAGTGCGTAAATTTGTCGAGGAGATGAGGGTTGCTAGGTAAAGCAATATTCTGCAGTTTTTGCATTTTACATTTATGAGTTTTAGATGCAAAATTCCAGACGGAACAGGCAAAAGTTAAAAATGGGCCGTAACAAGTTCTTATAAACGAGTAGTTTGTTATCTAGAGAAAGAACGGAGTCTCGGGCGATTAAGGGACTGAAAGTTCCCATAAAGGCAATGCATTTAGTATTATTTCATACGCACTTCATGAGAGATCTTTACTCATATGGTATTTGGTGTGGTGTATTTAATTATGGCAAAGCACACTAGGGCTATCTGCCTAAGAGGAGGGATGCCTTTCGTGGAGGACTTTCTAAGGGAAACTGGCTCGTATACACGTTACACATGGGGAAAACCACGAAAACGCCCATGCAGCCAGCCCGTTCGCGAGATTCGAACCTCGGACCGAACTACCAGTGTTCAGCGTCTTTACCGCTCGGCCGCTGGTGGGCCATATGGTATTTGAATAACATGGCTGAAAGGGATTATGAAAGTTATTACCTAAGAGATATGCTAATTCGAATATACTATTTGTAAATTAAATATTGATATAAGTTTATTACTATTATGTAAGGTTAAGAAAGAATTTATCCTTTTAGTGCGAAGTGCATTACGTTATTTTGAATTACTCTTCATTAATAATCTCATGTTCAGTTTGCTTGCGGTATTAAGAATTTTACCACAAAACTAATGAGGAAAAAACATGCAAATTTTAATAGCCATATAATTACTGCTCATTGATTAGTTACTACGCACTCTTTAATGTATACGGAAAAGAATAATTTGAGAGAGTAAACAGAAGTGCTCAAAATAGTATATTAATGCATAGTCTTGTAGAGTCATTAGGTTAATTGGAAGCAGAAAAGATGAAAAATATGCAACCGCCTTCGCCAGGAATCGAACCACGAACTCTGGAATACTGGCCCAGCGTGCTACCGTTACACCACGAAGGCACGCTAGGGAAGTGGGAGAAATACCTTATAGTCTTTTCAACAACACACAGCAACATAAGTCAAATTCTTTTAGAAAAAGGTGAAACTTTACGGTTTCTACCAAAGAAATTTCCATTCCTATTAAGTTTTAATAAATTAAACTTCAAAGTTTATAGTACAGGGAATTAATCTAAAAGTAAATACAGCTAAATCTAAAAGTAAATACAGTATAGGACATTGGCCTAATTCCACTTTCTCTGACTCCAGCTAAATGATTTCGTAAACTACATTTTACAAGACGCTGAAAGAAAGGGGTGAGGGAGACCAAAGAAGCTAGGTAACAGTTTTATTCTGGAGTTAAATTCCTGTTGCCTTTATTATGGCGTAAACCTGGTAAAATTTCTATTTATTTTAAGTAATTATTTGTTGAGACTACAAAGCATTTTAAAAACAAGTCTGTTCTCATAAAAAACACTCTTAACTAAAACCAACAAAGAATTTGTTCACACCGCAAGGTCAATACAGTCGTGAGAATGATAAAAGAAAATTTCAAAACACAAAAATAAACAAATGAAAATTGCAAATTTGTCCAGCATACGGTTTGTCGAGCAACGAAGTTAGTCGAATTGTGTAGTTTCGAGTTTGAAAGCGGCAAACTGCGCACGTAACCGCCCTCAATCACAACAAAGCGGTCACGTGGACGCGCTTGCAGTGCTGCCAAACGGAGCGAGACAAAAATTCTCTCCTCTTTTCACTCTCGAAACGGCATTTCCCCCGCACGGACGCTTTAAAAAATGACTCCTTACTTAACTTCCCTTTGCTGTGCGACTATGAATGCTCTCATCATAATCAACATCCTCAACGTCGCGTTTTTTAGAACGTCGTATGCTTTCACCAATGGCTTTCCGAAAGAGCAATGCGACGAAATGGATCCGACTAAAATTAACATCGAAAATTCGGCGGGAAAAGGATCTGCGGATGCTGATTATAATTCCACGGACTTCGGGCAGGAAGATGCGCTCCCAACTTCCATTCAGCTGTCCGGTAGTTTGAATCTGTACCGGATAGTGACTTCATCCCCTAAATACAGAAGAGGCCGTACTTTAGATAGTAAGTATTTACAGTTTCTTCATTCTAAGAGCCGCTAGAAATTTTTTGAAATAAAACTTCTTTTAATAATATAATTGTCTTATAAGAGTCTTAATTCTCATATCTATAGTTTCATATCAATCGGTGCTTGATAGAAAGACTGTTATTCTTTTGCATTCAAACGTAACACTAGAAATCTCAGTTTCTTCTAAAAAGGAAAATTGAAAGATGTTATTAAATTAAAAGAAACGTCTTTATAATTATCTTTATATCGTCTATTAACTAGCTCACAATAACTAAATTTATAGTGCATTGATTCGCAAATTTCGGTAATTTTTTAATGTGATGCTTGATTTGTTTGAGAATAAATATTTTATTGTAATGCTGTCATCTATTTAATGGTTATATCTCAAAATGATTACTCTCAAACTGAGTGAAAGTATGCAAGAAAAAATTAATTTGTTGCTTTAGAAAACCATTGCGTTATTCGGTTTTCCCTTTTTCTTTCTGTTTTATTAGGTGTTCTGCAGTTTCAAGTATTCTTCTTTACCAATCGAAATGAAAGAAATTTTTTAAATAAATCCAGTTAATGATTTGTGAAAATGCGTTGAAAATTAATATTGTATCATTCCAATAATCTATTACTGTTTCATCCTTACTAATATCAGTAATTTCCTTTTTAAGAAACAGATATAATGCATAATTGCGTTGTATCTACCAGGGTTTGAGCTATTGCGATTCATATCTATCCGGAAAAAAATTATATTCCGCTTGGAAAAAAATATTGTTGTTCCACAACTATATTTTTTAAATGTTTAACAAATTAGTTTTTTAACAACTAATTATATTATTTAACTAATTGTTAAATAACTAGTAATAATTATTTAAATCATTCTTTATAGTGTATAACGTAATTATTCACATTCTCATATTTGAAACGGCACGAGCGACTTCAAGAATGCTTATTTTTTTTTTGCATAAATAACTTACTGCCAAATTAAGTAATTACTCCTAGCATATTCCTAAGTTAAAAATATTTTTACCACTTTTAATCACCAAAACGGGTATTCGAGGCATGCTATTTCAAAACTATTTTGAAGTATTAAAACCATAATTAAATTAGAGCAAAATAGAATGTAGTATTAATTAAATGAAAAAAATGGTGAATGCAGATGGAAATCTGATTATAAATGTGGCTATTTCTTAAATAAATCTGTATCATTTATGCCTTTTGTCAAATCATCTGACAATTTCGGTTCAGCAGCGGACTCTCTTAATATATAGCTCAATATTATCAGCATTATTTTATGTTAATTTTATATAAACGAAAACCTTATTATGACCATTTAATAGCTTTTAACGTTCATTTTGCGCATTATCAATCATTATTTATATAAAAAAGTTTATTAAAAGTCTTATTTAAGGACTGTAATAGCTATCAATGTATGTGAAGTTAAATTACTTACTTCTTGTCGCTCACCAGCGGCCGGGCGAAAAGTCATTGAACACTGGTAGTTCGATCCGAGGTTCGAATCCTGCGAATGGGCTGGCTGCATGGACGTTTTCGTGTTCTTCTCTTTGTGTAGACGAGCCAGTTTATCTCAGAAAGTTCTCCACGAAGGCAACGCTCCCTTAAGTAGAGAGCCCTCGTGTGCTTTGCCATAATCAAAATAAACAAACCAAACCTATGTCTAGGCGTACGTCGAATAGCCTCGTTTTCTTGCTTGCTACGAAGTTATTGTGCATTTGATGAAAGACTATTAAAAAAATAATAATAAAGACATTTTTTTTTACAAATACACTGGTAGTTTGGTTGGTTCGAATCCCGGCGAACGGGCTGGCCGGCCGTTTTCGTGGTTCTAACACTATGTAACGTATATATAAGGCATTTCCCTTAGAAAGTTTTCCAAAAAGGAATCTGTCTCCTTAGGCAGATAGCCTTCGAGTGCTTTGTCACAATTCAAATAAACAAATCCAAACTCTCCAGAGATATGGAGCCCACCAGTGGAAGAGCGGGAAAATTGTCAAACACTGGTAGTGAACCGGATTCGAAACCTCGCGGGCAGGTGAGTAGGAGGTTTCATGGTTTTTCTCCACATCTAGCATGGATACGAGCCATTTTTCCTTAAACGTCATCTACGAATGTACCCTTCCCATAGGCTGATAGCCCTCGTCTTGCGTTGCCTTAGTCAATTAAGCTAACTTAACTAAGATTTTTGTACCGCTATGTTTCTACCTTGGCTAATTCATACACTCGCTTTGTTAAGTGTTGTCACTAAGCGAAATAAATGGTATTTGCCTTTCATGCACCTCACATAAAACCAGTTTTTAGAATATTGCTATTCGGCAAAAGTAAGATATTTAGTGTATCTTTCAGATTTAGTGCGTGATTTTCGCTATTTTTTTTTAATTAACCCCCATGTATATATGATATCAGTTAAAATACATTGTTGTAGTTAATGAAAGTATTTCTAAGGCTACTGCACTAGGTATACTACATACCTAGTGCAGACTCTGGTTTGAGGATTTCAAGAATTTCTCATTATTTAAAATGAAGGAACGAAATATTATTGCACTTCTTCAAAGTTTCAAAGATAGAACTTTATATAGAAAACTAAGCTATTTTGTGAGATTTAAATTTTTATTTATATTATCATTAAGAATAAGTTCTGGTAATATATATCAGTTTTATCATAATGCAAAAAAGTTTTTAAACTTGCCGTGCAACAATCTTTTATCTAGCAAAGTCAACTTAGCTTGTTCCGCCAAACCTCTGGTACTTACGTCTAAGATTTAAATTTTTAAATATCAACAGAGCTTCCCTCATGATACAAATGTGTGTATTTATATATGCATAGAAAAGTCTAGAATCTAGAATATTCTCGTCTACTCATGGTTACATTATCCATACGCTGCCGGAAGCTACGAGTAGCTTATCAAAACCTACATTTAAATAATGATTTAAACTTACACAAATTCACCTCAATGCGGTTCTGATATCATCTGTGCTCTCATTATAGCATAAACGCTGGCAGCCGAGTCCTGTGATTACAGCTTCGGTTAATATAATTCCTTCCTGAAAACCTATATTGACATGGTCTAGTTTTCGGTATCATAGCTTTGTCACATTAAGTTTTGAGTTTATAGTATATTCCACATTAAAGTGTTTCAAGTTAAATTTATCCGTAGAGACATTTTATATTTTAAAAGATACTGGGGAAAAAAAAAAAAAAAAAAAAAAAAAAAAAAAAAAAAAAAAAAACTACTTTGAACGATTTTAGTATAGCAAATTAAAAACGGAATACCCAGCAAGCAAAAGGTTTTTCTTGCTTTAAAGGCAAATATCTTTAAATGGTATTTTTCTGGGGAAATATACGCAAAATTTACTCTGTTTCATGTCTTATAAGTGAAAGCAACAGTCTGTGTGCTTAACAGAGAGATAATGACAGTTACATTAACTTTTTAAGTATTAAATATTTAGATTTTACATCGTTCTATTATTTCCTGAATACGATCGCACAAGTTTATGAAAATCGGAGTTGCACGAAAGCAAAGTTTAAATACTGCGGTTTTTCAAATGAAATTCATGCTGAATTCTAGCAAGATTACTCGCTGTTGGCAAAAAATGCACATTGCTAGTGGAAAGAGATCCTATGTTATGGGTAATACTATTCCTATGTCCCTGAGTTGCTGTGAATCTGAGAGTTTGTTTTTAGGAGTAAGTGGAAAGAAGACTTTTAGGTATCTAATTGAACACTTGTTGTGGACACTAAAGCCCCGTTCACATGCAACGCTCCTTCGCACAGCTGCCGTTAGCAAGGGGAGAAAAAGGAGACATGAAAGAGTTTCGTCTTTAGGACCCGTTCAGAAGACCACCGTCTTCCTTCCCCTTTACACCTAAGCCTCTATGAACAATCACGTCTCCGAATTGGCAGATTTCACTACTGTTCACACATTTACATTTACGATACTGTTCAACACATTTTTAACGTGGTTTTACTGTTGTTAATTTTGTAATTTTGTACTTTCGTAACTGATACCTGAACTTTCGTAATGGTTCCTGAAAAATATATGCTTTTTAATTATTATTATTATTTTATAAGCTGTTATTTAGTTCACTCTTGGTGCTTGTCGCTATGGTTAAAAGATGGTAACGAATTTTTAAACTGCTTCCCGATATGATATAGAACTCAAACTTTGTACATATACACTGCTTGTGGATGTGGTGTCACGCTTTTGATTTTTAGAGGATTAGATTTTTTTTCAAATTTAAAGTTGAAACGATTTTTTGCAATTATTAACAAATAAACTGAGAGAATCTCAGAATATTATAGTGTTTGCACCATAACACACTGTGAAAGAAAAAAAAAATTAAATGAAATTTTTAGCGTAATTTTTTTTTAAATATTTTGGTAAAATTTTTGAAAATCGTTCAGATTTTTTAGACTTTTTGACGCCCATTAATTTTTAAAATTTCCTATCTAAAAATATATCGGTTACAAACTTCCGACATTTTCACAGTTTATAAACAAACTTTTCGCATTAAAAAAATTATAAAGGAAATTAAATGGATGATTTTGTACTTTTTTGAAAGATATGCAATGAAGCAGAATGGAAAATATTGGTTCTTCTTGGGCATCAATTCGAAACATCGGTTTCAAAGTAATAATCTCATTATACCACACTATTTTTATGACATTATTTACGCTACATAAGTTGTTATTGTTACCAGTTGTTAGTTCAGCGTGAGATTGGAGATATTTCTGAATTAACTTTCTCTTAAGATGCGTTGTTTTTAACGTTCTTTAGATTGAAGCATAACTACTGATTATACTTAGTGATATGCTAAACACTTGTACGAGTATTTCTGTGGAAAATTCCAGAACTTTGAAGTGTTTATGTTGATAAAATAAAATTAATTAAGCTATCATCGGATTTGAGTGCAATGACAACTATTAAAAATTATTATCAATCAATCTATTACAAACCCGTACGCACGCAGCAATATTATAAGTAATTAA